CACATTGTTTATTTTCCGATTTTTTCAATTCTTATTTAAATTGAAAACAGTCAGTTTTATTTTCTTTAATTAAAAGAAAGTATTTGTTTTGTTACATATAATACGGGGACAATAAGATAAAGTTTGATTTTTAAAGTGGTTTTTACGTATATTGGGGCTTTAAGGACACTTGCCGATCCGGATCATCTGATCTTATTCTCACTGTTCGTTTTTTTCATGGTTCGTCGCTTGCATATTTTTTTTGTCCATATTTTATTCTTGTTTCACCAACATTGAGTTTGTGTTTAGATCACGCTGACATTTTTTTCCTTTGTTTTTTCTCATTGAACTATTCTTTATTTCTGTCATCGATATACAGGGTCTGTTCCTCAGTAACAACGATGGCGTTTCTTGTAGTAAGTCTTCCATTTGCACAATTATAGTAAGTAGTTTCCTTCATCACGAATCTTTTCATACTCACAATCAGGATTTTAAGTGTCTTTTAGGTCAAGACCTGTTTCTCATTCAACCACTTGAAAATGTTGTTAATTTCCGTGTTTCAAAAACCATTAAGAATATTTTATATATTTCACAGCGGAAAAAGAACTCGTTGAAGGTAACACCGTTTACAATAATATTCCAGTATGGTGTATCTTGGTGTTGCATACTTCTGATGTAAACTCTTTTTGCAATCAAAATAAAATGATTAGAAGAATTTGGTGTGACATTCGATAACACCACTTAAACCAGACAAAAGACAAGGGTGATGTTTATAAGTACTGACGTATGTATTGTAAGAGATGGTAAGGAATCGAAAGTCTATATCGGCTACAATCCTATGTATAATAAGGTAGAAAATAGTGTAAGTACGTCACTGCATTATTTCCCTTCAGCAGGACTTTGTTCCTCGTGAGAACATTCTAATGTGTCTCTGCGTTACTTCAATAAAAAAAAAAAAAATGAAGAAAATACCAACATGGCAACACAATCATAATTAAAACTCAAAACGTCCAGCTTCATGTAACACACATAAAAAAAATAGAATATTTCTCAATGAAATCAATCTGGCGACCATAAAACTTCACTATAATTTTCATCAACCTGCATCTTTTGAACGTGTTACGAGTTTGTCAGTCAGTTGACGACTTCATGCACGAAAATCGTGATAATGGGAGGGGGCACATGAATATCGAATTAAACGTGATATATAGATATCACAGGTTGGAGATTCAGGGGTATTGCTATCCGGAAATGGAAAATTCACAATAGGGAAATTGATCTTATCACGTTCGTCATACATCTTGATGGAAAGCTGTCCATGTAGGTTTCGATGTAGGAAAAGATCGAGATAAGCAACTGATGTAGAAGAGTCTGTCGTAACGTTGATTCCCAATTCTGGTGGATATATACGATACACGTAGTCAATGGATTTCTTGTTATTTAAAGACAAGACCTCACAAATATTTCTGAAAATGAAATCAAATGACTTTGCAAGGTCTTTACGACCCGTTTTGATAAGCTCTTCAATAAATCAGGCCTCGGATGAAATAAACAAATTAAGTCACCCAACAGAGGGGCGCAATATATTTCCCTCCAGCAGGACTTTGTTCCTCGTGAGAACATTCTAATGTTTGTCTACATTGTTTCACTGTAATATTTCACTTGCTTCTCTCATCTATTCGAAAGGTATAAACATGTTTCGATATCTATGTAATAATGCCCCGAAGTTGATGTCGAATGTGTCTGAGAATTTGAAGCTGGTAGAACGCAAGATTTTTTTCTTCTTGTGTTCTTTCTCATCGGTTACACCTTTCTCTCTGTATTTGAAAATGTTTAAACATTTCGCAGTTATACAGTAAATATATAATTACCGTTTCAAAATTTAGAGTTTCTTCTACAGTGGGGATATTTCAACGACAAGTCAAGAAATTGACAGATTGTGTACCCTCTGTTGACACTTGATTTCATATTATCACAAATAATCGTATAGATATAGTCATGAAGTGTTAAAACAATTTCTACAGCATTATAAAACACAAGGCTATGTGTGCATACAACACATGTTTGCATTTCGGTTAAACCACCGCTTCATTGTCGGATAGTTCACTTTCCAATTTGATAATGTTCGTGTAATGGTGTCGCAATTTTTAATGTAACGATGCGGTGAATTTCGGTCAGATACGCGAGATAAATGTATTGAACTCCGGTACATAGCTGTTCACTTGTTATACGGCGCCATCTTGATATATTCCTTCCTGACCACGTACACGACGTATACCAAGAACAAAAACACCGACACATGAACATAATCTTAATTCAAACTCTAAATCGATGAAACGAGGTCAAAAATAAGAAAATACCAACATTTCAATATCATTGTAATCAACTTTTAAATTCAATAAGTCTAGGGCAAACTATGAACTAAAAAAAGATTTATACGAAGACGAATGAAAAAAAATACATGGCCATAAGACCAGGTGTTCCGGAATAGTAAGCGTATTCTGTTTCATCGACGACATCCGCCTTGTAATGTTGGTCAATCCCTGTAAGTAATGTCACGTTCCCACATGAGAACATGGTAAACAACAAAGGAACTAACAGGTTAACTAGCGAGTATTGCTACTCCCCCATACTCTTCATCAACCTACACATCACAGAACCTTCTTGAGATTTCATCTGTCAGCTGTAGGGTTCTTGTACGTATATCGTAATATTTAGAATAACCCCTTGAATATCGAATCAACTGCGAAATAAGTCCGAATTCTTCTGATATTCTGTCGACTTTTATAAATCGGCCTGGAGTTTATCGACCCTAAAGGATAGTATAATTTTCCCTAAGTCTGGGCTATTATTTGACTGACTGTATCATTTGGTACTTTCAGATAATTAGGGCTTTTCACTAACTTGTGAAAAGACCTATTGTTTTTGTTCTGTTTCTTCTTCTTCTTCTTCCAATTTTGTGGGTTCGTAATCTTTTAAACTGTAAAAGCTAGACATACAGTCTATTCACCTATTTGTAGATACGTAGATGAAGTTGTCGATGCCGATTTTTTAAGTAGGTCAAAAATCCAATATGGCCGCCATGACGTCATAAGTTAAAAACTTAAAAATGGCACTATCTCGAAAACCATTGATTGTACAGAGTTTGTGCAATAATATTATTTGTAGAGAATTTTCATATCTAAGTTTTTGTCACCCATATTAATGCAAAATGTGTCAAATAAAAAAGCTCGCTGTGGGGTAAAGTTTTAAAATTTAACAATTTTTTGTCTGTTTTTTCAATTTTGAATTTTCTTGAAATTTTCTTCTTCAGATCGATGCAGAGCATCATTCCGATGAATTTGATGTTTTGTTTTTCGGTAGATTGTCGCCAAAGAAGTGAAAAGCCCGCAAAATTGTTAGCAACAATTTCTAGTTTCAGTTGTTTTTCTTGATTGTAATTAATTTTCCCCACGCCTGGATTGTCACTGTATCGATTGATACTCTTTTTGTTAATTCTATTCTTCTCTCTTGATGACAATAATGTTCTCTGTGTCGGGGCTGCTGTGTCACTAATCCCCATTTGGGGGCTGCTGTGTGGCTTATCCATGTGTCGGGGCTGCTGAATGGCTAATCCTCGTGTCGGGGCTGCTGTGTGGCTTATCCCCGTGTCGGGGCTGCTGTGTGGCTTATCCCCCTGCCGGGGTTACTGTGTTGCTTACTGGATTATTTACATCGCGATAATATTCTTCAAGAAACTTTCGTTCTCTTTAAATTATCAGAATGTCGATATGCGTTAACACCAAATACAATTATGAATCGGCATGGATTTCATAAATAAAATGCAATTTCCTTCGTCAGTGAGCGGACAACTCAGTTCAAAGTTCATAAAGTTAGTTCGGGTTTTATTTATAAGCCAGAGAAACACGGGTAAGAGTTTGATAAATAATTGTTTTATAAAAGAAAGTAGCAGTATTGTGTTTATCTGTGTGAATATATCCACATCCTCCCTGTTATGGTATTTTTCTATTGTAACCTTTTCAGTCTGTTTACTGTTGATCAAGTCAATGATAGAAGTTTAATTCAAAGGGACGTCTCAAACATAAAACTGAATTAAGTATCCTATATCTGAAACTTTCCCAACGCTGACAAATAGACATATTGACTGACCCGGTAAATACAGCCAGTAGCGGTATAGGACAAGAGAGTTTAAACGATTTTTAAGCCTGATAAATTGGAGAGATTTTATGAGATGAACAGTCAGCAAGGTAAGGACGCACCTGTACGGCAGAACAAGGAACAAACGCTTTATAGCAGTTTTGTCCGCGTGATGGCTCCAACCATTCAGGAGCTGCCGTGGACCGTAAAAAGCTGAAAGGTGAGGACGGGGAGGGTCTCTCATGATACACTCATCAACATACGGGGCTCTGCGAGGGACCAAGGAAACTCCAGGCACGAGGAAACGCTCATTGTCATTCTGTTAAAGTTGTTCCAGTCGTAATCGAGTTTTGTTATTTGACTCAACAATTTGCATTACTTTCTTTTAAGAAACAATCAAGTTGTAAAGGAAACAAATTTCATCTTATTTTAGCATTTTGTCACCAGTGTTCTGTCCGTTGTATTGGACCCCTGAGGCCCCTCCATGACGGTGGAGATGGGGTGGGGAGGTGACGGCCGTTAATGAAGAGCACGTCAGAGCAGCGATAGGGATTAAGACGAGGTACACCAAATGAATATCAGAGTCGGCAAACGTGTGCTGATGAATGCAGTACTGAACATCGCCATAAACCAGGTAAATATCAGCCTTCATTGGTGTCTCATCGAAATTCTTCACCGGATATTCAGCAAAATGGCGTCGAATAACATGACAGCACATTGAGCTGTCAGTGAACATTATAGCTATGTATATAGCTGCCGTGAAAGCAGTTTCTGTAACACAAAATTTCGACAAGACCTTGGACCTGCTCAATCTGTCCTACAAGTGAAGTGGTATGTTAGTAAGACAAACTCGCGTAGAATAGTAAACTTCCATGTTACCTAAAATGACTAGTGTGATGTCTCTACCATACCTACCGGAAGTAGGGGTACAGAGAACAGTAGCCAGCACGCGAACACAAGATTCTGAGACATCAAACTTGCTGAGTTTTGTGGATATGGCGTCAAGTAACATTAAATTAGCTCTGGACAAACCTTCCCGATCAAAACGGAAAGTGAACCACAGAAAATATCTACAAAAGCAACTGAAGCGTTGCGGAAACTCCTCCACTACTTACCCAGACGGTAGACAGGTCGATCTACAGGGGGCAGTGTGTAATGGAGGAAAAGGTTCGAGGAAGGAAACAACACAGATAGGACTACAAATTAAGTCTCTTCAGGCCTTGTTCGACCCTAAGACATTACACCAGAAATGCTGTACAGACCAAACGGCGAAACCAGCGTCAAATTCAAAAGTTCCATTGCGTAAACGTAACTTACCTCCATCCTTTTTCATTGAACCCACATCTGGTTTGGAGGACACCGACCAAGTTTTACAAACTGGTGGCAACGCAGACTTACAGTTATGTCAAGATATAACAAGTAACGAACTTCCGGCTGATACGCTGGATTCAATACTCGGACAAACTGAGTTGCAGGAACTTTTGGCCGGACCATGGACTGACAATATTCGAGATAACTTCACCATGCCTCGTTATGAACAGAGTCTAGGTAACTGTAGTCCACGATCATTCTCTGACAGTTCTGACGCTATGTCAAGTAGTGCCTCGGTATCCCCGGCAATTTCGGACCAGAATTCCGACTGGATCGCCTCGTTTTTTTCACAATCTCTCGGCGAAAACATCCAAACCCCATCCTTATTTGGGGATGGATTTGCATCAGTCCAAAGTCCCCTAGTTCCTGTTGGTGATAACAGAATAGGGGACGTAACGGATTGTCAATCCTTAGAGGACAAGCTCTTCATAGAACCCTCGTTCACAGGACAGACAGTGTCTGGTATCAGAGAACACCAGTGTGACACAACGCCTCTCCCAACATTTCCACAAGCGTTTTGCAGTGGCGTCTCGCTACAGGAGAACTTCCAGAATGCTTACTCATGGTCAGACGCACAGATCCAACCATGCTACACCTATTTATGACACTACAAACAGTACTTTTTAGTCTCATTAGATTGTGTATTATTTGATGGTAAAAGTGTTTAGTCACGTGATAACAGCAGTAAGCTGTGATTAACGAAGAGAGTATGAGATACTCCCTAAAATGTATAAATCCTCACATCGCAGACCGATTCTCATAGTGATGATTGTTGTTTAAGTACATTTTTATTTCATTACGAAATTTTTAATGTTTGGAATTCCTCCTTTCATCTAAAGTCTATATATTGTTTAAATATACCCTCTTATCAATATCATTAAGGAAATTTACAAAAACAAAAGTGCATTTCGTTCACCTTTAAACGTATCTAATTTTGCCATATTCCCAATGTTGCGGGTCACCATACAGGAGTTAGCATTTGTTAAGTTCAATTGCAATTTGTACAGTGTAATCTAGATCAGATCCCTCATTTCGCTTCGTGTGCTGTTCTTCGTTACATGGAGATGGTTACCTAGCTTGAGGTCGATCTCCAGGTTACGAGGTAAGCAAGCCGGAGTGAAGTAAGGAGATACCATTTCGTTTAGATTATCAATTATCACATATCCGGGGTCCGTTCCCCATTGAATTCGCAATATTTTTTCCATTTTGTCACTAGTGAAACATACCCAGGAACATTTTTATTGGCTGATATTGATCGGAAATGTAACAACAAAATGTCTGCCTTAGTTCGATTTTTTTGTCTACATTTCGAAATGATTACATGTCAAAATGTAACATTTAGGAGCTATGTGATGTACAGTACCTTAAATTTTATGAAGCTCATTTGATCAGACTCAAGGTTCGAAAGACTCGTTTCATAAAATTGAAATGTTATGTAATCAAATACTCGTACCGTAAAATAGCCGTTAATATAACACAACCAGTAGAAGACCTCAGTGTGACGTTTCAATGACTACACAGTTACCTTCATCTTGTAACACAACCAGCAGTAGATTTGAGTGTGACGTTTCGATGACTACACAGTTACCTTCATCTTGTAACACAACCAGCAGTAGATTTGAGTGTGACGTTTCGATGACTACACAGTTACCTTCATCTTGTAACACAACCAGCAGTAGATTTGAGTGTGACGTTTCGATGACTACACAGTTACCTTCATCTTGTAACACAACCAGCAGTAGATTTGAGTGTGACGTTTCGATGACTACACAGTTACCTTCATCTTGTAACACAACCAGCAGTAGATTTGAGTGTGACGTTTCGATGACTACACAGTTACCTTCATCTTATAACACAACCAGTAGCAGATTAGAGTGTGACGTTTCGATGACTACACAGTAACCTTCATCTGACAAGTGACCAGTGTGGAGCGTACTAGCACCGACGTGCTTATTCCACGACGTGGTAAGGAATCGGCCAACTTTTCGGTTGTACTATAATCCTATGTACACTAAGGTAGAAAATAGTGTGACGAGATGGTAAACAGATTACAGATAAAAAACTCACAAGATGGTAACAATGCACTGTGGTCAATTCGGCTACGCTTTGTTTAATAACACATATTGCAATCTCGTACACTACGTACGTCACTGCTGATATGCTCTACACTGGACATTTGTCTGATGAAGGTGATCGTAAAGTCATCGAAAACCACACTAAAATCGTCTACTTGTAGTCTTAAATGAATTTCTACTCTACTGACATTACCCAGAGACGTATATACGTCTCTGCATTACCTGACGAAAATATTCCGAAATATGCTCCAGCAGTGTTTATTTGTGTTGTGAACGAAACGGATAAAGCCTTCGACCACGGCTGTTTCCTCTCGGTAACCAGACCTGTTTCAGTGGGTTTCATCTCGGTAACCAGACCTGTTTCTTTGGGTTTCATCTCAGTAACCAGACCTGTTTCTCTGCATTTCATCTCGGTAACCAGACCTGTTTCTTTGGGTTTCATCTCGGTAACCAGACCTGTTTCAGTGGGTTTCATCTCAGTAACCAGACCTGTTTCTCTGTATTTCATCTCAGTAACCAGACCTGTTTCTCTAGGTTTCATCTCGGTAACCAGACCTGTTTCTTTGGGTTTCATCTCGGTAACCAGACCTGTTTCAGTGGGTTTCATCTCGGTAACCAGACCTGTTTCTCTGTATTTCATCTCGGTAATCAGACCTGTTTCTCTAGGTTTCATCTCGGTAACCAGATCTGTTTCTCTGGGTTTCATCTCGGTAACCAGATCTGTTTCTCTGGGTTTCATCTTGGTAACCAGATCTGTTTCTCTGCATTTCATCTCTGTAACCAGACCTGTTTCTCTGCGTTTCATCTCGGTAACCAGACCTGTTTCTCTGCATTTCATCTCTGTAACCAGACCTGTTTCTCTGCATTTCATCTCTGTAACCAGACCTGTTTCTCTGCATTTCATCTCGGTAACCAGACCTGTTTCTCTGCATTTCATCTCTGTAACCAGACCTGTTTCTCTGCATTTCATCTCTGTAACCAGACCTGTTTCTCTGCGTTTCATCTCGGTAACCAGACCTATATCTCTTGGTTTCAGACAAATTGACACACTATATAATATTAAACACTATGAAATGTTTTAAATTTTTAAAGTTTATATATATGCTGCGATCAAAATTACTATTTCAAAATTGAATAAATAAAATTATTGAATGTTATTAGTTCTTACTTGTTATTTTTCACATATAGACGAATCCCAGTTATTTGCAGCAGTTTTCTGTAGATGACAGAGACTATTGATATTTGCATCAAACCCGACCGTATCATAAGATTTTTATCAACATCTTTTATATTTAAACAACCCAGCAAGAAGATATATAAAGGAATCCATTTCATAACCAATAAATGTTATAACACCTGTTCAAGAATCTTAAAAGTTTGTTCATTCTAATGTTTGTAACTTTCATCCTAAAATGAAGTTTGTTTTGGGTGGTGATGGATGAGTGGAAATGAAGAAGTCCAAACGGTGGTGTTCGGGTGTTGAAGGTTTATTGAAATGTAGACTATAGAGAGATGGGACACTCGCATGCCTTCAGGAACCGGATACAAACTGGCTAGAAAAGAGGTCGTATTTATACTAGAATTGTTAATTAACTGATAAAGTACTATTACACATTAGCTAACAGGTAAACAAGGATTGAATAATACATGAGCTCCTGACATGGTCTTACACACATAAATGACAATAGATTCGGCTGTTTACAACAAGATAAGGTTACACTGACCTTCATACAAACTGCTTAGATAGGCTTCAGGTAATGACTTATATAATCAGGGAACTAACTAATACATGAACATGTGTAGTAGATCAGTAACAACAGAATACCTCTGGCCACTGGTCAATACATAATTGTTCACAGTAGATGTCAGTACTAAATTAACACAGGCAGATACATTATGAGGAAACATCTGACTTATGTCTAGCACAGTTTTGAACAATGTAATTAACTTACATATTACCTTTTAACAGTTCAATCCTTGCAACCACAGCCTATGATGTAACACGTTCTATATGATCTGATATTCAAAGACTTGTTATCAATATCATAACAAGCAATTTCATGCAACATGTTGGCAACTGACAAACTTTAAACACAAGAATTCGAGAGATGTGTGTAAATGAAGATTATTGGAAGATTTAAGGTCGTCATAATGATCTTGGTGGGAAATATTCTTTCCTGTATGAAATGATGTACATGTATCTTGTTCTCATTTTGAGAACATGGCATGATTTACTTGAATTAACCAAGATATACATGGCGGATAACGTCGAAGAAGCAAAAGACGCTTACTCTTCCAGAACACCTAACCTAATTGTCGTTTTTGCCTTTTTCAGGAGTCTCTGTGTGAATCTTTCCTTTGTTCCTATTTTTCCTACTTTTATTGAATTTAAGTTTGATATAAGATTACGTTGAAATGTCCGTATTTTCCTTATTTTGTCAGTATTGATAAACAAAAGCTCGGAGAATCTAAGTGATCTTTTCAACGTTTAATATTCTTTTTATGATTTTTTTGAAGTATTTCGAGGATTTTTTCAATATCACGAAATCAAGTGCAATGGAATCTAAACATTGATTTCCAACCAAAAGTGGTAAGAAGCAACTCTGGATCCTGGGAAGGAATTGTAATATATTGAAAGACGATGTCCCTTGCAGTAATGAGAGCCAGATTCAAAATTTGAAAAAAAAATTTTTAATGTAATTATACAAGAAAATTATTTCTAATTAAGTTTGAAATATGGCCACAAGTGAATATTAATGACCTTGTACAAAATAATCAATATCAGATCAATAATGAATTATGTTGATGAATTTGAGATAGGTTTTGATGTCTGAACAATGTTTAATAATGTCCATCTACAGCTTTTATTGATACAGTCTTTCTTACCAGCCACATCTCTTGTGAAGATATGACACCTGTGACAATTAATGATAGTTGTACAAAATCTCTACGCTATTCAAAGAAGTACGAAGATATATTTTCCAGGATCCTCATCATGTTGTCTTTCTCTTTCAGGTAAAAATGGCCCCCTGGCAACATTTTAATGGTCAATTTTCCAGTCGTCAAATCTTGCCAAGCTGAAAAAAACGTATATATTACTAATACAGAACAAAGAGATAGGAAGGAAAATGTGGAACTGAATCTGCTATAAATGTACAATCTAACCGATAGGTCGAGGTCAATGTTAAATAACGAGGTTTAGGAAACTGATGGACACGTCAACATTAAACAGACCTATCCCTCTATCACCTATAAAAAAAGTCAAGGTCATTTCTTTTACCTTCTTGGACTTCATAAAAGGAACATACTGGCCAAATATAATGATTCTAGGCTTTTCGATATTTCAAAAGAAATTGTTTAAATGTTTTAACATATTTGACTCCTGTGACCATGAAGATTGGTCAAGGTCATTTCTTTTAGCAAACTTTGTAGGACACTATAAGAGGAACATAGTAGCCTAATATAATAATTCTATGCCTTCCGGTATTTTGAAAGAAGTCACTTAAATTTTTTTAACATATTTGACCTCATTGACCTTGAGTATGGGTCAAGGTAATTTTTTTTCGCAAACTTTGTTGGGCTTCATCAAAGGAACTTTCCTGCCAAATATGATAACTCTACACCTTCCGGTATTTCAGAAGAAGTTGTTTAAATGAAAAGTTGATGGACGACAGACGGATGGAGGACAGAGGACGGACGCCGCGCTATGGCATAAGCTCACTTGGCCGTTTGGGCCAGGTGAGCAAAAAATGAGGTCAAAGAATATGTGTATATTCTGACCCATTCTAATGAAATAAAACATGACTGCAGGTTAAAATACCATAGAAAGCTTGTATGGCAGACAAATCAACAACAAAATCCGGAACAATGATTCTGTTAACATTTTCATGTTTTCTTTGTTTTTATGACTTTTATGGTAGAATACATCTGAAGGCCTTAATTTGTTGTACAATATGTTTGAAGGCTTTCTTTTCTTTTAAAGGAAAATGATGTCAGGCCTTCGTTGAAGGATATGTTTGAATGATTTCAATGTAGGACATATTTGTAGATTTGTCTTATATGTGTTATTTGAAGGCTTTTGTGGAAAGATATGTTTGAAATCCTTCTTTGTAGGACATGTTTGAAGATTTTTTTATTGAAGGACATATTTGAAGGCCTGTGTGGTAGGCTGAAATGCCAGTGATGTAGGAGATATTTGAAAGTCTGTATTGTAGGAAGTAAGGCCTATGTTAATGGTACTATTTGAAGGCGTTGGTTGTAGATGTAAGACCAATGATGTAGGTGATATCTGAAGGCCTCTGCTGTAAGATGTAAGGTCAATGATGTAGGTGATATTTGAAGGCCTGTGCTGTAAGATGTAAGGCCTGTGATGTAGGTGATATTTGAAGGCCTCTGCTGTAAGACGTAAGGCCTGTGATGTAGGTGATATTTGAAGGCCTGTGCTGTAAGATGCAAGGCCTATGATGTAGGTGATATTTGAAGGCCTATGCTGTAAGATGTAAGGCCAATGATGTAGGTGATATCTGAAGGTCTCTGCTGTAAGATGCAAGGCCTATGATGTAGGTGATATTTGAAGGCCTGTGCTGTAAGATGTAAGGCCTGTGATGTAGGTGATATTTGAAGGCCTCTGCTGTAAGATGTAAGGCCTGTGATGTAGGTGATATTTGAAGGCCTGTGCTGTAAGATGTAAGGCCTGTGATGTAGGTGATATTTGAAGGCCTCTGCTGTAAGATATAAGGCCTGTGATGTCGGTGATATTTGAAGGCCTCTGCTGTAAGATGTAAGGCCTATGATGTAGGTGATATCTGAAGGCCTCTGCTGTAAGATATAAGGCCTGTGATGTCGGTGATATTTGAAGGCCTCTGCTGTAAGATGTAAGGCCTGTGATGTAGGTGATATTTGAAGGCCTCTGCTGTAAGATGCAAGGCCTATGATGTAGGTGATATTTGAAGGCCTGTGATGTAGGTGATATCTGAAGGCCTCTGCTGTAAGATGTAAGGCCTGTGATGTAGGTGATATTTGAAGGACTCTGCTATAAGATGTAAGGCCTGTGCTGTAAGATGTAAGGCCAATGATGTAGGTGATATTTGAAGGCCTGTGCTGTAAGATGTAAGGCCTGTGATGTAGGTGATATCTGAAGGCCTCTGCTGTAAGATGTAAGGCCTGTGATGTAGGTGATATTTGAAGGCCTCTGCTGTAAGATGTAAGGTCTGTGATGTAGGTGATATTTGAAGGCCTCTGCTGTAAGATACAAGGCCTATGATGTAGGTGATATTTAAAGGCCTGTGCTGTAAGATGTAAGGTCTGTGATGTAGGTGATATTTGAAGGCCTCTGCTGTAAGATGCAAGGCCTATGATTTAGGTGATATTTGAAGGCCTGTGCTGTAAGATGTAAGGCCTATGATGTCGGTGATATTTGAAGGCCTGTGCTGTAAGATGTAAGGCCTGTGATGTCGGTGATATTTGAAGGACTCTGCTGTAAGATGTAAGGCCTGTGATGTCGGTGATATTTGAAGGACTCTGCTGTAAGATGTAAGGCCTGTGATGTCGGTGATATTTGAAGGCGGTGCTGTAAGATGTAAGGCCTGTGATGTCGGTGATATTTGAAGGACTCTGCTGTAAGATGTAAGGCCAATGATGTAGGTGATATCTGAAGGCCTGTGCTGCAAGATGTAAGGCCTGTGTGGTAGGCTGCAGTGCCAATGATGTAGTTGATATCTGAAGGCTTACCTTTCAAATTATGTTTGATATCATATTGTCCATCTGTTATATCTATAGGACAGGTCAAAGGGGCTTCTCCCTCAAGGTCATACCTGCAAAATTAAATCAACACCTCAATGTTACTTACAAAAACCAATGTATGAGACACAGGTCATTTCAATGATTTTCACTTATAATTTGGAAACAGCATATTGTTATTGCCATATTTAGAAGAATCTATATAATGATATTGAGATTAGATATGAAATAATGATAAAAAGAGTCTGAGGAACAGAGATGTTTATGACAGATGGAATTTGAGAATATAATACAATGACTGGATGGGACATGGAGGTCCTGGATGGTGTTTAGGATGATGGTTTAGGAGGCATTATCAGAAGTGCACTGTGATACACGGAGGGCAATAAACAGAAGTAGGAATAAAATGGATTATTCAAACTTACTCATACTGGTCAACAAGTTCATAGTCTGCCCTCAATGGAGGCAAAAAGAGAGCCATGAGTTCTTCACTTCTGAGAATTTCATCTGGTGTCCCACCTTGAAAAGAAAAAAGTGAGTCATATCACCATGTACAGTGTAGGTCAAATATATCGGTTACCATGTACAGTGTAGGTCAGATATGTCAGTTACCATGTACAGTGTAGGTCAGATATATCAGTTATCATGTACAGTGTAGGTCAAATATGTCAGTTACCATGTACAGTGTAGGTCAGATATATCAGTTACCATGTACAGTGTAGGTCAAATATATCAGTTACCATGTACATCAGTTACCATGTACAGTGTAGGTCAAATATATCAGTTACCATGTACAGTGTAGGTCAAATATGTCAGTTACCATGTACAGTGTAGGTCAAATATATCAGTTACCATGTACAGTGTAGGTCAGATATATCAGTTACCATGTACAATGTAGGTCAAATATTTCGGTTACCATGTACAATGTAGGTCAGATATATCAGTTACCATGTACAGTGTAGGTCAGATATATCAGTTACCATGTACAGTGTAGGTCAAATATGTCAGTTACCATGTACAGTGTAGGTCAGATATATCAGTTACCATGTACAGTGTGGGTCAGATATATCAGTTACCATGTACAGTGTAGGTCAGATATATCAGTTACCATGTACAGTGTGGGTCAGATATATCAGTTACCATGTACAGTGTAGGTCAGATATATCAGTTACCATGTACAGTGTGGGTCAGATATATCAGTTACCATGTACAGTGTGGGTCAGATATATCAGTTACCATGTACAGTGTGGGTCAGATATATCAGTTACCAACGTGAACATGCATAAAGAATATAAATCCCAAATCCAACACATGCAGTGTTGGGTATTCACCTTGAGTAGCTCTATTAATATATAAAAAATGCCAACCAATCAGATCCTTGGCTGACATCTGACTTTGTCAGGAAAGCAGTCAGATTTCTTAATGAGCTAATGATTTAATGATAGAATTCAAACTTACCCAGCTTCTTCAGAAAATCTTTAAACTCTTCATCATTGAGATCTTTTACATACACTTTACTTTCTTTTCTCTCTGCTGACTGTGAAAATGTATATAAAAAACAACAAAAGATTGAATATTTTTGTCAACTTTTATATATGTTAGACTGTGGTGTTAGATATCAAGGACTGCTGTTATTTGAGACTGTGGTGTTAGATATCAAGGACTGCTGTTATGTGAGACTGGTGTTAGATATCAAGGACAGCTTTTATGTGAGACTGGTGTTAGATATCAAGGACTGCTGTTATGTAAGACTGTAGTGTTAGATATCAAGGACTGCTGTTATGTGAGACTGGTGTTAGATATCAAGGACTGCTGTTATGTCAGACTGTGGTGTTAGATATCAAGGACTGCTGTTATGTGAGACTGGTGTTAGATATCAAGGACGGCTTTTATGTGAAACTGGTGTTAGATATCAAGGACTGAAGTCATGTGAGACTGGTGTTAGATATCAAGGACTGCTGTTATGTGAGACTGGTGTTAGATATCAAGGACTGCTGTTATGTGAGACTGGTGTTAAATATCAAGGACGGCTTTTATGTGAAACTGGTGTTAGATATCAAGGACTGCTGTTATGTAAGACTGGTGTTAGATATCAAGGACTGAAGTCATGTGAGACTGGTGTTAGATATCAAGGACTGCTGTTATGTGAGACTGGTGTTAGATATCAAGGACTGCTGTTATGTGAGACTGGTGTTAAATATCAAGGACTGCTGTTATGTGAGACTGGTGTTAGATATCAAGGACGGCTTTTATGCGAGACTGGTGTTAGATATCAAGGACTGCTGTTATGCAAGACTGGTGTTAGATATCAAGGACTGCTGTTAGGTCAGACTGTGGTGTTAGACATCAAGGACTGCTGTTATGTGAGACTGGTGTTAGATATCAAGGACTGCTGTTATGTGAGACTGGTGTTAGATATCAAGGACTGCTGTTAGGTCAGACTGTGGTGTTAGATATCAAGGACTGCTTTTATGTGAGACTGGTGTTAGATATCAAGGACTGCTTTTATGCGAGACTGGTGTTAGATATCAAGGACTGCTGTTATGCGAGACTGGTGTTAGATATCAAGGACTGCTGTTAGGTCAGACTGTGGTGTTAGACATCAAGGACTGCTGTTATGTGAGACTGTGGTGTTAGATATCAAGGACTGCTGTTATGTCAGACTGTGGTGTTAGATATGAACGACAGCTGTTATGCGAGACTGGTGTTAGATATCAAGGACTGCTGGTATGTGAGACTGGTGTTAGATATCAAGGACTGCTGTTATGTCAGACTGTGGTGTTAGATATCAAGGACTGCTGTTATGTGAGACTGGTGTTAGATATCAAGGACTGCTGTTATGTCAGACTGTGGTGTTAGATATCAAGGACTGCTGTTATGTGAGACTGGTGTTAGATATCAAGGACGGCTTTTATGTGAGACTGGTGTTAGATATCAAGGACTGCTGTTATGTCAGACTGTGGTGTTAGATATGAACGACTGCTGTTATGCGAGACTGGTGTTAGATATCAAGGACTGCTGGTATGTGAGACTGGTGTTAGATATCAAGGACTGCTGTTATGTCAGACTGTGGTGTTAGATATCAAGGACTGCTGTTATGTGAGACTGGTGTTAGATATCAAGGACTGCTGTTATGTCAGACTGTGGTGTTAGATATCAAGGACTGCTGTTATGTGAGACTGGTGTTAGATATCAAGGACGGCTTTTATGTGAGACTGGTGTTAGATATCAAGGACTGCTGTTATGTAAGACTGGGGTGTTAGATATCAAGGACTGCTGTTATGTGAGACTGGTGTTAAATATCAAGGACTGCTGTTATGTGAGACTGTGGTGTTAGATATCAAGGACTGCTGTTATGTGAGACTGGTGTTAAATATCAAGGACTGCTATATTTCTTGTCAGGGCATCAATCAATTATATTTTGCTTTCTAGTGTATTCTAGTTCAAAATTACTAATTCTGTCATCCCTTGCCCCCAAACACCCCTCCCCATCGGACTGAGGGGCAAAAACACTCTCTATACAATGTAAGTTAAGAACCAGAAGGCTGACACATTGAAGTTCATACTTACGTGGGGAGCGGAAACTCCAGAAACAAACATTCGCTCTGGTTCAAGGTTGTATTCACTCTTTAGAGTTTTTGCTACATCAAAACACATCAATGCTCCTAAGCTGTAACAGAACTATTGAATGTTAAAGCAGATGTTTTATAACCTTCCTGGTGTTGATAAACTCCTTTCGATACATGGAATTAACTAAGTGATAAATATCCATTACTTAGCAGGAAACACAGATCAAGAGAGGAAACTATATTGTGATCTTCATTGCTAGGAGGAGTTCAAAGGTCATTACCACAATATCAAGACCGTAAATTGGGTTTAATCATTTACATGTATAATTATGTATCTGTTGAAACATTTTTGTCAATATCTTCATTTGTGAATCTATTTGGACATATAACAAAATTAATAGATATTCAGAAATAATAATTTTCAACTATATTTTTATGTATTGACCTGTGACCCCAAAAAGCAAATGGTCGCTCCCGACATTTTGGTAGAATTGCTGCAATGATTTCCTTTTGCATGACTTCCAGGGAGTGACAGCAGGGGTCCTTAAATCGTCCCTCTCGTCCTGGGAATGTCAGACCAGTCACTGAAACATGTACAACACTATTAAACACGTCCCTCTTGTCCTGAGAATGTCAGACCCGTCACTGAAACATGTACAACACTATTAAACACGTCCCTCTTGTCCTGGAAATGTCAGACCAGTCACTGAAACATGTACAACACTATTAAACACGTCCCTCTTGTCCTGGAAATGTCAGACCAGTCACTGAAACATATACAACACTATTAAACATGTCAGACCAGTCACTGAAACAAATACAACACTATTAAACATGTCAGACCAGTCACTGAAACAAATACAACACTATTAAACACGTCCCTCTTGTCCTGGAAATGTCAGACCAGTCACTGAAACATATACAACACTATTAAACATGTCAGACCAGTCACTGAAACATATACAACACTATTAAACATGTCAGACCAGTCACTGAAACATGTACAACACTATTAAACATGTCAGACCAGTCACTGAAACATGTACAACACTATTAAACATGTCAGACCAGTCACTGAAACATGTACAACACTATTAAACACGTCCCTCTTATCCTGGAAATGTCAGACCAGTCACTGAAACATGTACAACACTATTAAACATGTCAGACCAGTCACTGAAACATGTACAACACTATTAAACATGTCCCTCTTATCCTGGAAATATCAGACCAGTCACTGAAACATGTACAACACTATTAACACTGAACACTGAAAATGGAATGATTTCACAACCAAGGGGTCATTCAGGACGACACTGATACAAAACTACAATTATGAAGTTTATCAAGTTTCAACATGATTGGTGGAAATCAAGTTTTTAGAAGAAATAATCTGGATATTGTGAAAAGCCTTGAATAGGAGACAAAACTCAGTCTTCCAAACTGTCAATTGAAGATTTTATTCTGAAAAACACAACTACATGTCATGATGATTAAGTTGAACCAGGCTTGTAAGATATAATCAAAAATTTGAGTGAAGAAATCTCTGCTTTTCAATTTCAAAATTTAATGAAGCAATCTCTGTTATTTAATATCAAAACAGAGTGAAGAAATCTCTGCTTTTCCATATCAAACCTGAGTGAAGAAATCTCTGCTATTTAATATCAAAATCTATTGTAAGTTCTCAGATCAAATAACACAGGAAAGGACATCAACATATTCAAAGTCTATTAGTTTCACCAAGTAGTCAAAGAAAGCATATTAATCTCTAAAATTACTCCAGGAAAAAAACCTAAAGGGAAACAACTCTCCCAAAATATATCATATCAATTAATTATAAAACTTCCTACAATAAAAAAGTTCTTTACTCAATTTCAAATAGATCTTTTGAAAATGAAGAAAGATGATTTTATGACAAAAGAAAGTTTTATGACCAAATGATGTACAATATGTGGATGGTTGTATATATTACCTAAAGATGTTTGACTTCCTTACATATGAAATACACCTTTTCAATCGAAGATTGTAAGTTGTAACCATGAAATCCAGCAGGTATGTTGGTACATTTGAAATTCCCTGTTATATATGAGATAAATAAATATGGATTCCCCCTAAAATACATCAACAGTATTAATTGTTGATTAAATCTTAATTCTTATCTTTAAATGATAACTAGGACTAACAACATCATGTTGATCACATTTATATAAATAGATGTTTATAATCTTATAAGTCATTCCTGAATTAATTCAAAATCCAAGATTAAACCTTACAAGTACTCAGGACATAACATCATCTTCCATTTTCTTCATCTTTCTTTTCGTCAAGATTTTAAAATCTAATATTAAATAAAAAACACTACACTGTTTGATGTTAAGACTTGATGGTTATTACCAATTTACCTTCAAGAGACTCTGGAAGCATGTTTCCCCAGTTTGCATAGAAGTTTGACCCTCCACCAGCCCAAGGGAAACAGAAAAGTTGACAAGAGGCTGTTGGTCGTGGAAATCTGCAGTTCAATACCTTGTCCACCATCGTTGAGTACAGTGAAAAAGCCCTAAAATTCAAAATTGGAACAATATGACTCATACAACTAGTCAAATCCATGTAAATCTTATCTGTTTTATGATCTCTCTATGGTACTTTTATTGGGTTGAATGCGTGAAGTTTTATATATCAGTAAATTATAAAAACTAAACTCTGCATGCTTAAGGAATGTGACTCTCAACTATTAGAGATGCAATTATGTCACAAGGATTTGATGACCCATTAAATGGGTCCCATTTCTTGTTCCCATGGGAGTCAACCGCTTGCCAACTATACCTTTTCATCCTTAATATTCTCTTTGACCTCTTTTGGGCCTCATTCTCAAGCCCCACAGGGGTCAATCACTTACCAATAATGCCTTTTTATCCTTAGATTCTCTATGACCTCTTTTGGGCCCCTTTCTCCTGCCCCTGAGGGGCCGCCACTCACCAACTATACCTTTTTATTCCTTCATTCTCTATGACCTCTTCTGGGCCCCATTCTCCTGCCCCTGAGGGGTCCGCCACTTGCATATTTACACTAATTTGGTAAAAATCCTATTGTAACTACAGCTTAAGTTGATTGAAGCTTTTGTGTTTGGTTCCTACCTTCCAGCTCCGTCAACAATTACTTACCCAAACGTAAGGTCATTCAACCAAGTTTGGTTAAAATCTAAAGGTAAACTTCGAAAAAAGAAGTCAAAGGAAAGTGTTGCACTCGATATTGTTGACTCAGTCACAGAATCTCCTCCAGTATACAACAAATCATCTGTTTTTTATCATCATCTTTTTTTTTTAAAATGTATATGAAGAAGTGAAGAATGTTACAGCAGGTCACCATATTGGGACAAAAACTGTCGACTAGCTGTAGCTAACTGGTTGAAAAAGGCAGATAAATATTGATGGTTATTATATTATCTAACATTTGGTGCATTTTAGACAATTATTTCCACTTTATTGTACTTTGATAAAATACTAATACTTCGTTCTTTGGTTAATCACATAAAACGAAGGCAATTAATTCAGCCGATCATTGTATAGTATCAAAGGTTCACAGTCACTATGTCATACAAAAAACTTAGACCACATTAATTATTATATATGTATATATTTATAAACGTAAGTACTACACAAGTAACACGAACATGCGTGTACGCGGCCTATCAAATCTACGTTTTTACAAATTACACATAAGTCCTTCTAATATAATACACGTTATCACGTATAGAAACAACGAGTTCTGGATATGTCAGAAAAAGTATAACGTTACACATTCAATACATAGCGTAGATATAACGCTTCAGTTTTAATTTGTGAAAAACAAAGACTAGAAAACAAACCGAAAATAGAACATCCGGCAGTGGATATTCAGGAGATTCTTTGAAACAATATACTAAAACAAACTATTAATTCCTACCTGAAATTTTCAATGAAGACGCTTTCCTTTCAGTGACTCTACTGTGCGGGCGCGTTACCTGTACTGTGCACGTCTATGGTAGACCAGACATTCATGACAGGTTCATGTCAAATGACAATTTGATTTATGTGTTACACAGATTCGATGGCACCGCTGAAAAAAGAGTGACTTCCCTTGAATCTATTTTCGGTTTGACGTAAGAGGAAAACCCGAAAAATTCTTCTATTCGGAACTCTCGCATTTTTCTCCAAAGTGGAGGATCTAATACGAGGACATCGAATCAGGTCACGTGTGTCCGGTCTTAGTGGAGTAGGAAACTTTTACCTTCTAATTTCTCAATGTTTACTAAAATTATGTAGCCATGTGGAGGTGGCTCAGTGGAATTCCCAGAGGTAAGCATCCAGCGGTTTTTAATATTCCTAAAGAAATGGACGATGTTTTTCATTAGATGTGTTTCTCGGGAGTATTTCCATGTTGGGGGTGGCGTCACGGTCTATTAAAGAACATTACAAACGCTCCAAGGTGACCCGTTAATACTGTTTTGTTGCGCTATTTACTTCCTCATATCGTCAAAGCTTAATAGTTAATTTACATTCATAGATTTCAAATAAACCAAGTTCACGCACGAAACTTTTGATCAATTGTAATATTTCCTTTCTGTCAGTGTAACTGTCTATTTATTTCCACTGATGGTAACTACTCGAAGCATGGTATTATTTAAGTAGATTTCTGTGGAAGCTGCTTTGAGATAGATTTTGTGTGGACCTGTCGGTATCGGCTGAAACAAAGCATTAATTTGCAAGTATCCGTACGGAGATGTTTTGTTTTTTTATAGTAAAATTGTTTCCGGTCATAATACAGGACGTCTATCATCATCAAGTCAGTCAAAACAAATAGTAAAGACATCCCACCCAGTGTCTGAGCAAGGACATAATATGAAATAGGCACTGCCTAAAAAACTGAAGTTTGTGATTTGGCCTATCTGTTTCCATGGTAACATAAAAAGTATTTAAATGGAGAACTTCCCCATAGCAAAAGATACTACTAGCTTAATAAATGTAAACATTTTTGAGCAATTACCTTGTCAGAGTATTGGCTCAGAAAAACTGAAATTTGTGATGGTTATCGGTTTCAGTGGTAACAATAAATGTGTTGATAAAGTCTTTGACAACACATTTAGACTATAAAAATTGATAAAAAAAAGATCTTCAAAATAAATGCACAAGAGTTTCCCTTTTAGAGTTACAGATATTGCAGAGAGGACTATCTGTCATCTTTGCTTTAAAATGAAAGGATTTTGTAGTCAAAATATGGGGAAAGACAATATATTATAGTTTCAGTCGGATTTGTAAAGGTGGTGCTTATGTTTCACAAGTTTTCATTATTAAAATCAGAATGTTCTCTCCCACCATTTTCTTTTCTCTTTGCTATTGAGAGTTTTCGTTATGTTAAAATGCTGCGGCAAGTGTATTGTGGGTAATGAAGTTCCAGCCACACTTCTGTTTAAAGTTGATAGTATGGGCAGGTTGTTGGTGTTGAATTATCACACAATACCATAAAGCGCTTGCTACAATATAGAGGATAAGAAACTGGGCTGTGTGCAGACTTCTCTGGCATTAACTTTTCAGTTTGATCACTAAGCCGTGAAGTCATCAAAGCCTGAATCTGAAAATAGAATTTTACCAAATTTATCTACAACTGATTTGATTGAATTCGAAAGAAGTTAAGGGTTAAAGGTCAAGGTCATTCGGATACATTATAAGTTTAAGTCACTAAATATTTTGTTATTTCATTAATCCTGAAGCAAAAAGTCAGGGTCACATGGGTCATGATCAGCATCTCTGCCTCTTCATAAATTTTTGTTAAAATTTCACTCAATGACATCTTTTGAAAATATCTTTATCTTGCTATACATGTATTACCTGTCCATCTTTTTCTGCTTGATATAGTTTTGTATTGATGTTCTCTAATTTTGACTTGTTTTAGCCGTCCGAAACCACCTCCATGGTCCCAGAGCCTCAGCATCTGGTGTCTGTAAAGAAGATGAATTAGATGAAGCAAAGAAATGTGCAGAGAACTGTCACCAGCACTACAAAGCCCAGTATAGGTAACATCATTTTATAGCTGATCTACAATAAATCTCCCTGTGGTGTCCAACATTATATTTCATCAAATCATTTAAAATAGTCTTCACTGATTAGGACCTACAATAAACATACTACTGGTATCCAACATTTCATCAAATAGTTTAAAATAGTCTTCACTGATTAGGACCAACAATAAACATACTACTGGTGTCCAACATTATATTTCATCAAATCATTTAAAATAGTCTTCACTGATTAGGACCTACAATAAACATACTACTGGTATCCAACATTTCATCAAATAGTTTAAAATAGTCTTCACTGATTAGGACCAACAATAAACATACTACTGGTGTCCAACATTTCATCAAATAGTTTAAAATAGTCTTCACTGATTAGGACCAACAATACTACTGGTGTCCAACATTTCATCAAATAGTTTAAGATAGTCTTCACTGATTAGGACCAATAATAAACATACTACTGGTGTCCAACATTTCATCAAATAGTTTAAAATAGTCATCACTGATTAGGACCAACAATAAACATACTACTGGTGTCCAACATTTCATCAAATAGTTTAAAATAGTCTTCACTGATTAGGACCAACAATAAACATACTACTGGTGTCCAACATTTCATCAAATAGTTTAAAATAGTTTTCACTGATTAGGACCAACAATAAACATACTACTGGTGTCCAACATTTCATCAATTCTTACTGGGAACCAAAAAAGATATGATGTTGATGGTCTTCATATTTCATCAAATAGTTTTGAATATTATTCACTCTGATTGAGCCCTACAATAATTGTATTACCTGTTCTTGAGTTCATTTTTCCCCAAATACATGTACTTGTAAGTTTTCATTGCTCTGGCACTTTTAGTACATAAAAAGTCTAGAGACATTCTACTTCTTGTAGAGAGTTAAAATATTTTCTGTCTTGTATTATGATAAATTTCAGTCAAAGATGTTTTTATCTAGATGTAGATCTAGACCTAATATGTAAAAGCGATACCTGGGTGTCGAGAGAGAATGTAGTTACAGTATGCATATGCATGGTCTATACTCTATTTAAGAATGTAATGCTGTTACAGACTAGGAGCTTGGTCTGACTATCAGGAAGGCTCCCATGATGACTACCAATGGGAACAAGAGGCTGGACCTGACAAGGAGAAAGGTTACAGACACACCCCAAACTTCTGGAATCTGTTCTGTGGACCAGGGTCATGTGAGGCTTTAGGATTGGTGAGTATAATCACTGATTCTGCTGTATCTATTGTATTTCAGTTGGTAAAGAAGTTTTGCTGATAATATTCCAATATCTGAGTCACAAAAGGGACATAATTATACACCATTTTCTTAAACTCAAATCCATCTAATTGTCTACATCTTATTCATTATTAATACAGGAACAAAGCAGTTTAAATATATCTCTATTTTTTATATATTATTTACAGTTCTTGTTGAGTGTATTGTGTATGATGTTTACTAGTGGGTTAATGTTATGATATTTGTTAATATTACATGGTGTTTGTTGATGTTAACAGGGGACAATTGTAGTTGTCGGCCTGCAGCTAACCAAATACCATCTGTTGATAGACAGATGGGAGAAGTTGAAAGACAAAGATAGGCGTTCCCACTGCTTGCTTTACAAGATCAGGAGTGTACTGCCCGAACCATGTCTACTGAAGAATTCTGTTCTGGAGACAAATGATTCTCCTCCCTCAGACAGGAAACATACCTCTCCAGTGTCAAAACTATACCAAAGACATCCGTCATTATTGAATACTTCTACACAGGATGCTAAGGTATATAGTGCCTGTTTGAAACTGTTAAATTCTGAATGTAGGTTAAGACTGAATATCCTAATGCATTAGGACACAATAACTTTCAGAAATTTGTAACTGAATGTTTAGAAATTAATATGAAAACAGATTATAGAAAGTTTTATCTGTCTGAGATGGTATTCAGTTTATTTGAAAATTGGTTTCCATCACTCCATATCAACAATTTTTTCCTTCTAATGAAAATGTTACTACTTGTCCCAATTATCTTTCCTTCTACTGCCTCTACTATACATCACTTGTGTTTCTGAGTATATATCCAATTCAGTGAATTTCTTAACTTTCCCCAATCTGTATTTCAAATCTGAGGTAATTTGTGTAATTGTGTTGATTTCTTCTGAAGGATGGTGAGAAGACTGATGATAGGTTTGTGGCAGAGGAAGAAGTGTTGGCCTCTAGCCCTTCTCTTGATCCTTTGGAAACTGTAATGAAGGAGTTTGAAGCAATTTGTCGTAATTATGCTGCTGTTGGACAAAACATTGCCGGACTTAAGAAGGCTATGGCAGGTCAGCTGACACAGGCAGCCAATCACTGGGCTGAGGCTAGTTGCTCAGCATATGGCAAGGCAAACTTCAATCTGGGTTTGTGTTATGAAACTGGACGTGGGGTGAAGAAAAATATTAAACAGGTGAATATGTTGTCATGTTTATATTTATTGTCTTTGTGCATCAAAATACTCATGCCTAGAAATAATGTCATTGATGAGTTGGTGCAGCTTCTCTGGAGAAAGATGACAATTTCTAATTATAGATGAAGGCAACTTCCATGCAGTTCAGTTGTTTAGCCCTACACAGGTCTTTTGGTGATACGTTCAATACAGGCTATTTTTGTGGTAATTTTGATAGGTAGATTGAGTACAAAGTTTATCATTTGAATAATTCTTGAATTATCCTTGAACTCAACAATCTTGAATCAATATATTTGAACATGGTAACACAACTGACAAAGGGAGACAATTTTTTGCTTGTGCCCTCTTCGGGCCGCAAACTCACAACCTACAGTATCAAATCACCTAGCGAAGAAATTGGACAATTGCCTAACCAACTACACCACCTTGACATCCCAAAACAGAATGTTTGGAAGTTGTGATCATAGAGTGCTGGAAAATCTTGACATGATCAGAGTGGCAAATTGTCTAGTATGTGGTTCAATGTATGAACAACTGGATTGCAATATATATACATGGATATGAATTATACAAAGAAAATACATTAAACATGAGTACAATTTTGACAGGAAATTCAAATCTGAAACTTTCAGATCAATATACATTACAGTTTATGATGCTTTGTGTTAATTGGTATTTGAACATAGTAACACAACTGACGAAGAAAGACAATTTTTTGACTTGTGCACTTACATATGCAGGCTATGAAACTGTATGAGCGAGCAGTGATGGAGAACCACCCACAGGCCATGTACAACCTAGCACTTATCTATCTGGGAGAAGATGGGGCTCTCACATCACCTGCCCTCGGTATACAGCTTATGGAGAAGGCAGCTGACCTTGGATTAGCTCAGGTAGGTTCTCACATTCAAACATAAAACATTAAATATGTCCAAGGTACATCTTAAAGACCTTGATTGATGGCTGCTTATTCTGCATATTAGTTTGAAGGTGTCGCAGAGTCAAGTTAATGTATATTGTATAATTGAGCTTCAACAATCTAGTTATCAATTCATCAACAGTCCAGCTATTAATTCTCAACAATCTAGTTATCAATTCATCAACAGTCCAGCTATTAATTCTCAACAATCTAGTTATCAATTCATCAACAGTCCAGCTATTAATTCTCAACAATCTAGTTATCAATTCATCAACAGTCCAGCTATTAATTCTCAACAATCTAGTTATCAATTCATCAACAGTCCAGCTATTAATTCTCAACAATCTAGTTATCAATTCATCAACAGTCCAGCTATTAATTCTCAACAATCTAGTTATCAATTCATCAACAGTCCAGCTATTAATTCTCAACAATCTAGTTATCAATTCATCAACAGTCCAGCTATTAATTCTCAACAATCTAGTTATCAATTCATCAACAGTCCAGCTATTAATTCTCAACAATCTAATTATATTCAGCTACATTCATCTTAGAGACTTGCATGTAGTTTATTGGTCGGTTTTACTCAGGTAAATGGTCTGTAATTTGGAGACTTTTTAAGAGATTGTCCACTTGTTTAAGAAGTTAAAGTAGCAGACATCATAAGTAATATTGTAATTCACAAGGCAGTATCCCCGGAAACTTTCATTTCTCCATATCCATATATTCAAAGGGAGATAAGTCAATATAAACTTAGTATAAAAAATTGTAATGTTTCAGGCCCAGACATTCATGGGAGTACATATCATGGAGCAGAAACAACCATCTCTGTTCAAAGCTGTCGCCTACTTCAGAGCTGCTGCTGGACAGGATGTGAGTTACTGCCCCTTGCTGGTATTACGTCAGTATGATAGCCCCGTTACAACCTGTCTGTGATGACATGACCCCTTAACGACCTGTCTGTGATGACCTAGCCCCTTAACAACCTGTCTGTAATTACCTAGCCCGTTCACAACCTGTCTGTGATGACCTCTCTGGTGTGATAAAACATGATTTCCAGTTACTACACATAATCTCATTAGTTTAAGTCTGAGACAGGTAATTATGGGGCTTAGTAGCTTTTAACACAACCGTTTAGCATTGGGTAATCTTTAAAAAGACAAAAAACTTCTGTAATAATACTTTACAAAGTGTGTGACACTTGTTCTGATGGTAGCATTTTACCTAGTGCTAAGCTCTCACAGAATAATGCTAGGGCCTACTTACCCCTAGTTGTTACAATAATGCTAGGGCCTACTTACCACTAGTTGTTACAATAATGCTAGGGCCTACTTACCCCTAGTTGTTACAATAATGCTAGGGCCTACTTACCACTAGTTGTTACAATAATGCTAGGGCCTACTTACCACTAGTTGTTACAATAATGCTAGGGCCTACTTACCACTAGTTGTTACAATAATGCTAGGGCCTACTTACCCCTAGTTGTTACAATAATTCTAGGGCCTACTTACCACTAGTTGTTACAATAATGCAAGGGCCTACTTACCCCTAGTTGTTACAATAATGCTAGGGCCTACTTACCACTAGTTGTTACAATAATGCTAGGGCCTACTTACCCCTAGTTGTTACAATAATGCTAGGGCCTACTTACCCCTAGTTGTTACAATAATGCTAGGGCCTACTTACCACTAGTTGTTACAATTATGCTAGGGCCTACTTACCCCTAGTTGTTACAATAATGCTAGGGCCTACTTACCACTAGTTGTTACAATAATGCTAGGACCTACTTACCCCTAGTTGTTACAATAATGCTAGGGCCTACTTACCACTAGTTGTTACAATTATGCTAGGGCCTACTTACCCCTAGTTGTTACAATAATGCTAGGGCCTACTTACCACTAGTTGTTACAATAATGCTAGGGCCTACTTACCCCTAGTTGTTACAATAATGCTAGGGCCTACTTACCCCTAGTTGTTACAATAATGCTAGGGCCTACTTACCACTAGTTGTTACAATTATGCTAGGGCCTACTTACCACTAATTGTTACAATAATGCTAGGGCCTACTTACCACTAATTGTTACAATAATGCTAGGGCCTACTTACCCCTAATTGTTACAATAATGCTAGGGCCTACTTACCACTAGTTGTTACAATAATGCTAGGGCCTACTTACCACTAATTGTTACAATAATGCTAATGTTCCAGGACTCTGATGGAGAGTACTTCCTAGCACTGTGTTATGAGCAGGGACTTGGTGTAGAAGAGAACAAGTGTCGTGCTGCAGATTTGTACAGCCAGGCAGCCACCAAAGGCCATGATGGTGCCATCTACAATCTTGCCTTCTTCCATGAGCACGGATTAGGGGGTATGTCTGCTATAGAAAACTACCACAAGTCCTGTTTATTTCTTAAAAATCTAACACCACCTGTATACTTTTTTTCCTCCATCATCGATAACACTGTGTCAAAATGACTTCAGGCATACAATGTTGTACAAAAAAAGTAGCAATGTATATGTCCTTGTCAGTCTTTACTGTTTCAACAAAAGTTGTACATCAACTTCTAAATTCTGAATTTCACAAAAGTTTTATCTGTAAACAGGGCTACCAGAGGATCAAGTTACAGCCATGACCTTGTACAGGAAAGCTGCTGATGCAGGAAATGAAAGTGCTCTCAGTTATCTTGAAGGTCCACAACAAACAGCTTCTCCAACCTGGAAAGGCAAGTTATTTGTATTACACCAGATTTCAAAACTCTGTAGAAATAGGTCTGTTAGTTACCACTGTCTGTTATTTAAATGATGGTGTTAGACAGGCAAAAAATAAAATGAAACGGTAACAGCTGTCCATGGTGAGAATTGTGGTAAACTCATTGAAGGCAGATACAGCTGTCCATCTATCAGGTAGAATCATTGTGGTGAGTTCCTTACAGACAAATACAGCTGTCCATCTGTTGGGGAGAATCGTAGTGGTAAGTTCCTTACAGACAGATACAGCTGTCCATCTGTTGGGGAGAATCGTAGTGGTAAGTTCCTTATAGACAGATACAGCTGTCCATCTGTTGGGGAGAATCGTAGTGGTGAGTTCCTTATAGACAGATACAGCTGTCCATCTGTTGGGGAGAATTGTAGTGGTGAGTTCCTTATAGACAGATACAGCTGTCCATCTGTTGGGGAAGAATCGTAGTAGTAAGTTCCTTATAGACAGATACAGCTGTCCATCTGTTGGGGAGAATTGTAGTGGTAAGTTACTTATAGACAGATACAGCTGTCCATCTGTTTGGGAGAATCGTAGTGGTAAGTTCCTTATAGGCAGATACAGCTGTCCATCTGTTGGAGAGAATCGTAGTGGTAAGTTCCTTATAGAGAGATACAGCTGTCCATCTGTTGGGGAGAATCATAGTGGTAAGTTCCTTATAGACAGATATAGCTGTCCATCTGTTGGGGAGAATCATAGTGGTAAGTTCCTTATTAATAAGTATAGGTGTCCATTTGTTGCGATCTGTAATATTCATTGTAAAAGTTTGACAGAATGTGTACTAGTAAGATTTTTAAAGAGATATTTAATTTCTTACCTTACAGAACAGTACATGTATGACTTTGTGGAGGAGCCACAGCTTGAGATACAGATCCCAAACCCCATCCAGGTGGAGCCACTGAAAGTGAAGATGCCACCTGTTGAACAAATCCCATTGTCTTTATCTTCTCCATCCCTCAGTGACTACTTACGCAAACACATTGAAGATCTAGATGTGAAACGTGATGTACAACAAGATGTAGCATCACTATCAATTCTTCAGCCTCAATTTGTAGGCGCGAAGAAAACAAGAATTCAGAAGGATAAAAGTGACTTCTTTACTGTTGGAACCAGTAAAACTGGTGGTGCCCCCACGTGGGCTGACATTGACGAAGAAAATGTTGAGGACAGAAGCCACTTATCTGCCATGTTGCAGAGAAATAACACTGTGCCTGATGTAAGATCCATTTCCTGTTCCTAATGGCAAGTGGACGTAGGTCATCAAATTCATCTGTATTATCTAGCTGTCATCAACTAAGGACCATAAGCTGTTTTATCTGTATCATCCAACATTTTTGTCAATCAAAGAAAAAAAGGTCTTTTGATTCATCTGTATTCACTGAATGTCATCAACACAGGAATATAGGTCTTCTTATTTTCCTGTTTCATTTAAATAACATTGGCATATCATTCTATGTGTTAGGATTTGTGTTTGTAGCATACTGATGGTTTAGGAAATTGAGGGAGATTTCAGCAAGAAAGTCCTACATAAATCAAACGGTATTCAGTATAAGTTACCACAGGTAAACTTCTTTACAGTCTGTTTATCAAAACCTTTCCCACTTTTTACATCTATTTGATGATCATGACATCAAGTGATAATTATAGCCTGATTATTTTGTTCCTTCCTAAAACTCACCAACATATTCCTCCCATTCGGATGATTGCTTGGTTTAAGGTACGACAGAACTGGATTCTGTTTATGGTAGAAAATTTATATAATATTGGATGGAATGAAATCAATACGAGTTCAAACCATTGAGTTGTACAATAGTTTGTGTGTGTAATTACTAGCTGGAGAACAAAACCAAGTTAAACTTTCTCTGGTGCATTGTTGATGTTGGTGTGCAGAAATCCATGTTTATAATAATAATAAACTTTTTTTATTTTACAACAATCATGAAGGATGTTTTTCTAACTGATACTAATCACTCTTGTTGGTTCGGATGTAAGCACGCGAGGGGTCTTATTGTGGGAGGAAACCCTAAGTACCCAGGGAAAACCCACGTGGTTGGGCAGGTGACCCCATACCTTTTCACATCCATTCCGGGAATGGAACACGGGATGGCTAGGTGAAAGGCAGGTGCGTTACCACTGTGCCAACTGACCACCCTCTTTAAATTCAAAGTACTTGTAGTTTCTGTAGTAACAAAACTTTCGTATGTGTTGGTAGTCCTTATAGAAAATATCAACCAGATACAGGTATAGCAACTGTATGTATACAATGTAACATATAATATGGTGTAGTTCTCTTACGATGATTCATGGAATTTCTGGACTGTTTTTATCTTTGAAAAAATGTTGAGGTGACATTTGTCATGACCACGTAAATATATTTTTATGTCATCTGTCCCAAGGGTCTGATGACCTACTGCGATCGCCTTTTGTCCAGCATCGTCCGTCGTAAACATTTTCAACTTCTTCTCAAGTTCTACATGTCTCATTGAGCTGAAACTTACCTGAAATGAACGTGACATGATCCTGACCAAAGTGTGTTTATTTCGGGTTGGTCCGAAATCCAACATGGCTGCCATCTTGAAAACACATTTTCGACTTCTTAAGTTCAAAATTTGAAATCTTGTATTTTATGTCAGATGACGGTTAAGGCCCATGGGCCTCTTGTTAAAATCCTATGTTGGGTTGACATCTGTTGTGACCACAAACATATATGTAATGTCCCACACTTTTCCTTAAGTTTCCAGTAATTAGGTCAGAGTTACCAGAACTACAATAAGATCCCCAATGCAGTCCCACACATGAAAGAACAAAAACTAATCTAAAGCAGGGTACCACACTAATTTTTGATATCACGAAAAATCTCATTTCATTACCAGACTAATAGGGGGTTGTTTTTGTCTGGTAGTCAAACCTTGATCCATAGCTACACAAACATACATTACTATCATTCAAATGACTGTAAATATTCTTTTGTTTTATAATGTACAGTTTTAAACTCACAAGTATTACCATGCTTTATTCCATGTAGAAAGAATCAGATTCTGTCTGCAATCATGTATTATAAACTGCCAAAGCGCAGTTATAAATTTGTTCCAAAACTGATCTCTCAGGACATTGTACAGTGGTAATAATTAGTCAGGTAACTGACAAATTTAATTAAAAATTTCAATTAATCAGAGACAACTTATTGGAAATGGATTCCTGTGTTTACTTTTTCACTAAATTATCTTTTCAAAAATCTGAATATTTCCAAAAATCACAGAATATCACAAATTCACATGATACTGGTCAACTGATCAGTTGATTTCTTATCGATGTTCCTGGAATCATTTCAGCATACCAGGAGGATCAATATCTAAATCTTTTGTTATTACTACTCTATGTTGAAGAGACAAATTAAGCTGAATGAGAAAGGATTGTTTTGCTGAGAGTAGAGGCGAGAAGAACTTTTTTCTGCAGAAGTGAGAGGTTCGGTGAAATGAGGACTGGTTAACATAAGTGAGAGAGGTTAGTTGATTTTGTGTTATCACTTCCCAAAGTGGAAGTATTGTCAGATCCTAAAATGGATCTCTGACCAACCTTTTATCCCGAGTGTGAAGAAATTGTTTTGATGATTTTGTTTGTTTTTATTATTTTGTTATGTTTCAATGTAGCTTTATATATACTCATTGTAAGTTTGAGAGTAATAAACTAATAAAACTCTTCAACACTGTTTATGGTTTTCTTTTATCTTGTATTCCCTTTTTCTTATCTTGGGGGTTGGGGCCTGAAACAAGCTCACATCCCTAGATATCAAAATTTAGCTGAGTTATGGTCCTTTGCAGTTATATTTCCATTGGACCTTGTGTACACAATGAATAAAGTAACTATGAATAGAATTTAATGAAACTTGCCGTGCAGCCTTATAACAATATCTTAAATTTTGAGTTTGACAATGGCATCAATTTCATTCTAATATACAGAGTTGTGGCCCTTTGCACTTCTATTTCCATTGGATCTTGTGGACACCATAACTTGAGTAAATATGAAGATTTGAATAAATCTTGGTATACATGCAGCCTAATGTTAATAGATTTGAGATGAGTTTGACAATGGACCAATTGTTTCCTGTGGACCTTGTGAACACAATAGTTTGGATACATGTGAACAGATTTTGATGAAACTTGGTATACTGCCTTGTATCATTAAGATATTTATGAGTTCTATAATTGGACCAATTTGATGTGACTTGCAATGTTAAGGCAGTCTAAGTTTGGTTCAGATTAGTCAGGTGACCATTTAAGGCTATGGGCCTCTTGTCTTAGAGGACTTCTTTTGGAGGTCAGTAGCAAGCTAGGATGAATGACCTTCATTCACTTTCAAGGTAGCAGTGGTTAGATATATTTCAACAACTTCTAACAATTAAGAGACCTGCAATAATAATAATGTTGTATAGTCTAAGTGTAATGTACTTCTATGGAATTATGACTAACAAAATCTGTGAATTTTAATTAATGTCCTACAGTTAATTCATTGTTGTAGAACTGATGAGGAATTTTAGAGCTGGAAAAGTAAATATAGGTCACTGTGACCTTTTGTTGTTATGAGTAAATATAGTGTTATCAATCTTGTCCATGGCATCTGTAATCAGTGTATCCATTTCTGTTACATCTACATGATTTGGATTTCACACAAGACTTGGTCCTAGTGACTTTAACAACCCCTCTGACAAGTTGGTAAGGTTGACTTAATTGAAAAAATAGTAATGGTATCAACTGTGATCTCTGAAGTCTGAAACATTAACTAATGTGAGGTCATAGGTAACCATTCCATTCAGTTTTATCAAATTCTCTTAAGAGATGAAGTTGCTGGAGGGATAGCACTGCTTTGGGACCAATGAGATAGACATATGCCCCTCCATACAATGGTAGGGGAATAATGATATTCAAAGTGGACAAATTTAGCCTACAGGAATGTTCTTCAACACAATCCATATCCAAAAAATACAAAAGTGTATGGCAAGCTGATAGGAAGCTATCAAACATCAAGGTGAGATATGTAGGGATAGCCACATCCAGACACAACTCTTATAAGTGGTTCAATTTTGGATGGTAATTTTTTACCTTGCCAGTTTTCAAACAGATCAAAGACTACATTTTTGCATTTTGAAACTTTTAATAGTGCATATAAACTTCATTTTTTTAATGTATAATGATATACATTACTCTGATGACATTATTTTGTCCATCACATTTGCCATCAAAAATTACTACCAAACAATTGTCACTTAACAGTTGCTACGGATGATGGATTGATCTGAATGATTGAAACAGAACACACCAAGAAAACCTTCATATCTTGAATCATTTTTTCTTACAAGCCACTATATTGACAACTTCACTTCAGAATGCAGTTACAGATTAAATTCATTTCCACAAGAGTCGATCATGTAGACCATGTTAGAGACTATTCCAATGGTAATAGTCATGGAAACCATCATCTAGGCCATGTTAGAGACTATATGGCAATATCCTGGAAACCATCATCTAGGCCATGTTAGAGACTATATGGCAGTATCCTGGAAACCATCATCTAGGCCATGTTAGAGACTATATGGCAGTATCCTGGAAACCATCATCTAGGCCATGTTAGAGACTATATGGCAGTATCCTGTAAACCATCATCTAGGCCATGTTAGAGACTATATGGCAGTATCCTGGAAACCACTATTTATATACAACAGGCACTGAGTAACATCATCTTCTAATAAAACATTAAACATTCATGTGACCACTGCTACCATTGTAATTGGTGAAGTTTGGATGGATGGTCATAAGAATTGTCCCTATGCAGCCAAGTATAGCTATAGTACTCCTCTGGAAAATAGGCCTGTCCTTTCTGTCTCCTGATAACAAGGTGGAGAAATTAACAGGAAACTCAGTAACTCATTCCTCTAACATGCATAACAGACCTTAAAACACAATATCCATCAGAACAGATCGGCGATGCCTTCCTCAAAGAAGCGTTTGTAGATCGCCATAAACTTTGCCACAAAAGCCTCCAGATGGTAGATGGCCTTTTGTCCAGTCTGTAAACGATGTTCATAGTATGCTGCAGACTGCACTACCTCTAACTTCAGTTCCCCGTCACAGTTCTTCACCAGCTCCTTCAGAAGACCCTGAAGTAACAATACATTAGAGTTAGGCAAACTGACAACAGAAGGAGTACTCAAATACATTGTAATGTAAGAATTAGGTAGGAACTGTACATATGGCACAAAGAAGTAAAAGCATCGTACCTGCTCACTGCTGAGAACATGAGAAGCCTCTGAAAAGTGTATTTACAGACCTCCTTTTTCACAAACTAAATATTTAAAACCAGATATTTTGAGCTGTTTTCATAATAGATGGTTGAAATTATAAACTTACTAATAACTTATAATTCCTAAAATTGGAGTAAAATTTGAAAGTTTCTCCCCATAAGGAGAAATGGCGAAGTATGAAGTTACAGAAGTTTCCTATGTTTCTGTATTTGTAACAATTTAATTACACCTGAGCATTCACACATAATGGAAAAAATGAGGAATAACATGCCAATTGGACCTCTTTTAAGGATGAACACAAGAATTTAGACCAGTACATTCTATAACACTATTAAGACTTTTTTCTATGATTTGTGACCTCAACACAATACAAGGTTTACATATATATGATTCCTGACTTACTTTCATAATGACGTCAGCTGGTATACAGTGCGTTATCAGTTCATACAGACGTGCCCGCACCTCCAGTAGTCTGAAAATACAAGGTAAACATACACTTAAAAAGGATTCAGCATTCTGTCTACTACAAAAATCATCTTCAGGGCTCTCACACTCCATTTTGTGACTGGGGCCCTTAGAATGGGGAAAAATAGTGGCGTTTTCCTTAGAATTGGGAAAACTTGGGGTCTAAATTGGGAAAAAAGATACTATTTCGCATTGGGAATGGGGCCGAATATCGGTCCCAGGTCTGGCAGATCGAGACCCTGATCTTCTACTACATCTGAACCTCAATTGATTAGAAATTTGAATGATCAAAGGACTTGACAATACATAATCAGTCAAGGAACAACGTGATTAGATGTTTATCTTGAAATAACGTACACAGGCTAATTTGATGCCAAAACAGGAATACCTGGTTTTAGCAGTCATATTATCATCACTTAAAAGGACCAAAGGAACTAAATTTATGTCATGTAACACTTTCTCAATTAACTTTTGCTTGTTTAATTTCAGCATTAAATCTTCCAGTAAAAGAAGCAAATGTAGAATATGGAAAAAAAAAAAAAAAAAAATAAAGACAAGATGAAATATGGGATATATTTAAAACTTGATGGCAGAGGACAAGATCTTTCCTAGGATCATTGTAGTAGTTTACCTTTTAGGTGATTGTTGTTGGACTATGAGATTTGCTGTCTCTTTCAGGTATAACTCCCAATCGGGTTCTGTGACCTCCTGGTCAGGTCGGAAGGGATATCTATGGACATCAAACCATAGGACTTCAGGGACATACAATAATTCCTATATCATAATTACATGCTACGTACCCATTTAGGATAAAACATTCATATTCCTCCAGGTAAAGTTATATATAGATATTTGTACTGATAAAGGCAATCTAACTGCAATCAATGTAAATATCCAGAAAAAAAAGGAATTTCAACATGTAAGTCACTTACTAAAGGACTATACGAGTTACATGTGACTTACTGTTGTAGGACTACACCTGAGTTACATGTGACTTACTGTTGTAGTACTACACCTGAGTTACATGTGACTTACTGTTGTAGTACTACATCTGAGTTACATGTGACTTACTGTTGTAGTACTACACCTGAGTTACATGTGACTTACTGTTGTAGGACTACACCTGAGTTACATGTGACTTACTGTTGTAGGACTACACCTGAGTTACATGTGACTTACTGTTGTAGGACTACACCTGAGTTACATGTGACTTACTGTTGTAGGACTACACCTGAGTTACATGTGACTTACTGTTGCAGGACTACACCTGAGTTACATGTGACTTACTGTTGTAGGACTACACCTGAGTTACATGTGACTTACTGTTGTAGTACTACACCTGAGCTACATGTGACTTACTGTTGTAGGACTACATCTGAGTTACATGTGACTTACAAATGGACTACACCTGAATTACATGTGACCTACAAATGGACAACACCTGAGTCACTTACTGCTGGACTCTGCAAGCCTCACACATCAATAGGGCACGACGCAGATTTCTGTTACTTTTTGTGGCAATTTTTGTTGCTAGTTCCAAAGGTAAGGTCAATCCTTCTTTTTTACAGACACTCTGGAGGATCTGACCAACCTGGAAGACAAACAAAATACATCATAACATGCTGACAAAGGTTAGTGTATAGGATAAATAATTATACAGTATCTGTAATTGGTTACAATTCACTTTTAATCCTGAATCTTGTATTTATATCTGTTCTATAAAGAGAGCCATGACATAGACACATGCATTTACCTGTTTCTGAGGAGAGTCACCACCCTGACTCCTGGACACCTGTACTTACTTGTTCTATAGAGGGAGCCACTACTCTGACCCCTAGACACCCACTATCCTAACCCCCTGACACCTGTACTTAATTGTTCTCTAGAGGGAGCCACTACCCTGACCCCTAGCGCCTGTACCTACCTGTTCTATAGAGGGAGCTGCTACCCTGACCCCTAGACACCCACTACCCTGACCCATAGACACCTGTACTTACTTGTTCTATAGAGGGAGCAGCTACCCTGACCCCTAGACACCCACTACCCTGACCCCTAGACACCTGTACTTACTTGTTCTATAGAGGGAGCTGCTACCCTGACCCCTAGACACCCACTACCCTGACCCCTAGACACCTGTACTTACTTGTTCTATAGAGGGAGCTGCTACCCTGACCCCTAGACACCCACTACCCTGACCCCTAGACACCTGTACTTACTTGTTCTCTAGAGGGAGCCACTACCCTGACCCTTAGACACCCACTATCCTAACCCCCTGACACCTGTACTTAATTGTTCTCTAGAGGGAGCCACTACCCTGACCCCTAGACACCTGTACTTACTTGTTCTATAGAGGGAGCTGCTACCCTGACCCCTAGACACCTGTACCTACCTGTTCTATAGAGGGAGCTGCTACCCTGACCCCTAGCACCTGTACCTACCTGTTCTATAGAGGGAGCTGCTATCCTGACCCCTAGACACCTGTACCTACCTGATCTATAGAGGGAGCTGCTACCCTGACCCCTAGACACCCACTATCCTAACCCCCTGACACCTGTACTTAATTGTTCTCTAGAGGGAGCCACTACCCTGACCCCTAGACACCTGTACTTAATTGTTCTATAGAGCGAGCCACTACCCTGACCCCTAGACACCTGTACCTACCTGTTCTATAGAGGGAGCTGCTACCCTGACCCCTAGACACCCACTACCCTGACCCCTAGACACCCACTATCCTAACCCCCTGACACCTGTACTTAATTGTTCTCTAGAAGGAGCCACTACCCTGACTCCTAGCGCCTGTACCTACCTGTTCTATAGAGGGAGCCACTATCCTAACCCCCTGACACCTGTACTTAATTGTTCTCTAGAGGGAGCCACTACCCTGACCCCTAGCGCCTGTACCTACCTGTTCTATAGAGGGAGCTGCTACCCTGACCCCTAGACACCCACTACCCTGACCCCTAGACACCTGTACTTAATTGTTCTCTAGAGGGAGCCACTACCCTGACCCCTAGACACCTGTACTTACTTGTTCTATAGAGGGAGCTGCTATCCTGACCCCTAGACACCCACTATCCTAACCCCCTGACACCTGTACCTACCTGTTCTATAGAGGGAGCCACTACCCTGACCCCTAGACACCTGTACCTACCTGTTCTATAGAGGGAGCTGCTACCCTGACCCCTAGACACCCACTACCCTGACCCCTAGACACCCACTATCCTAACCCCCTGACACCTGTACTTAATTGTTCTCTAGAAGGAGCCACTACGCTGACTCCTAGCGCCTGTACCTACCTGTTCTATAGAGGGAGCCACTATCCTAACCCCCTGACACCTGTACTTAATTGTTCTCTAGAGGGAGCCACTACCCTGACCCCTAGCGCCTGTACCTACCTGTTCTATAGAGGGAGCTGCTACCCTGACCCCTAGACACCCACTACCCTGACCCCTAGACACCTGTACTTACTTGTTCTATAGAGGGAGCTGCTACCCTGACCCCTAGACACCTGTACTTAATTGTTCTATAGAGGGAGCCACTACCCTGACCCCTAGCGCCTGTACCTACCTGTTCTATAGAGGGAGCTGCTACCCTGACCCCTAGACACCCACTACTCTGACCCCTAGACACCTGTACTTACTTGTTCTATAGAGGGAGCAGCTACCCTGACCCCTAGACACCCACTACCCTGACCCCTAGACACCTGTACTTACTTGTTCTATAGAGGGAGCTGCTACCCTGACCCCTAGACACCCACTACCCTGACCCCTAGACACCTGTACTTACTTGTTCTCTAGAGGGAGCCACTACCCTGACCCCTAGACACCCACTATCCTAACCCCCTGACACCTGTACTTAATTGTTCTCTAGAGGGAGAGCCGCCTGTACCTGACCTGTTCTATATTGAGGGAGCCCTACCCTGACCCCTAGACACCTGTACCTACCTGTTCTATAGAGGGAGCTGCTACCCTGACCCCTAGACACCTGTACCTACCTGTTCTATAGAGGGAGCTGCTACCCTGACCCCTAGCGCCTGTACCTACCTGTTCTATAGAGGGAGCCACTACCCTGACCCCTAGACACCCACTATCCTAACCCCCTGACACCTGTACTTAATTGTTCTCTAGAGGGAGCCACTACCCTGACCCCTAGCGCCTGTACCTACCTGTTCTATAGAGGGAGCTGCTACCCTGACCCCTAGACACCCACTACCCTGACCCCTAGACACCTGTACTTACTTGTTCTATAGAGGGAGCCACTACCCTGACCCCTAGACACCCACTACCCTGACCCCTAGACACCCACTATCCTAACCCCCTGACACCTGTACCTACCTGTTCTATAGAGGGAGCCACTACCCTGACCCCTAGCACCTGTACCTACCTGTTCTATAGAGGGAGCTGCTACCCTGACCCCTAGACACCTGTACCTACCTGTTCTATAGAGGGAGCTGCTACCCTGACCCCTAGACACCCACTATCCTAACCCCCTGACACCTGTACCTACCTGTTCTATACAGGGAGCTGCTACCCTGACCCCTAGACACCTGTACCTACCTGTTCTATAGAGGGAGCTGCTACCCTGACCCCTAGACACCCACTATCCTAACCCCCTGACACCTGTACCTACCTGTTCTATAGAGGGAGCTGCTACCCTGACCCCTAGACACCTGTACTTACTTGTTCTATAGAGGGAGCCACTACCCTGACCCCTAGACACCTGTACCTACCTGTTCTATAGAGGGAGCTGCTACCCTGACCCCTAGACACCCACTACCCTGACCCCTAGACACCTGTACTTACTTGTTCTATAGAGGGAGCCACTACCCTGACCCCTAGACACCCACTACCCTGACCCCTAGACACCCACTATCCTAACCCCCTGACACCTGTACCTACCTGTTCTATAGAGGGAGCCACTATCCTAACCCCCTGACACCTGTACCTACCTGATCTATAGAGGGAGCTGCTACCCTGACTCCAAGACATCGGCTGCGGATGGCGGGAATGACTTTAGAAGTAGAGTTACAGCAGAGGATTAAGCGACAGGTTGCCATATATTTCTCCATCGTCCGTCGCAGTGCATGTTGGGCATCTACACTGAGACGGTCAACCTCTGTCAGAATGACCACTGCAATCAATTAGTTTCACAATTACTATAGAAACCACATCAGTTTTTTAAACGTAATATGACCATAACACTTCAAGACATATATCCCAGAGTAGATTATGATTGTTATTGCATTCAAGATTTATCTTACAGCCTCATTTTGGGATTGAATCCTGGACTTATCGTTTATGATATCCGTTACCTTTAAACTTATCCATGCTGATCTGTTTGTATACTTAGTAATTATACATATAATCATAACAAAAGTCGTTTTCTCAGATAATGACTCCAGCGTGTTTTTCTACTTAATAGTATTGAAATACCTTTAAAGCTTTTCTGTGAAGAAGATTCCAGCTGGTTTGTCTGTGCGACTGTCTTTATAAGTTCCTGTATGACAACTCTGTCATTGTTTCCCACATCACTGTAAATAAATATTGGATAATCTACACTAAATCTCAAACTCAATCACATCACCAGACTTGGACTGTAATTGATTCCCATTTCAATAATTCTGAAAGGAAACTGTATTCATATTAAGATCCTCTATTTTACACTCAACATCACATGCACATGTACCCAAGCCATACTTCACCTGCAGGCTACAGTGTACTCATTACACAGGTAAAAGTGTAAATCTTGTGGTATAAGTTTATCCCTTCCATTTGGCCCCCACCCACATTTAAAAAATTAAACCTATGGCTTTAATGCAAGTGTCGACATTTAGTGATATTATGATTCACCACTCACCTGTTGACAAAACTGAGGCCTGTCGTTTTGATGCAGATGAAATATAGCTGTGGTAGGAGTTATAATTGTGTAAAAAAACAAAGATGGTTGACCACTATGGATTATACAAGTGCAAATAATGACCTTGTGTTGACCTCTTTGACCACTGTCACCCTGTGAAGTATTGATCGGTATAGACCTCTATTGAAAATGACAAAGTACTACATATGAACCCCCCACCCCCCATCCCCACCCTCACTTCACTTAAAACTGTTCTATCTCTGTGGATAGGTCTTTGTGTCACACAGGTTAATTTTGATTTGATACAGTTGAAAAATAAGAATATTCAACTACTGATTGTATATTTGTTCCAGATTACCTCTCAAACTCTCAACCATAAATGTCCACAATCCCAGTGATAAGTCTACATGCGAGTCCTGTACTCATAAAGTTTTGATGGAACTCATCTAACATTTGGAAATATTTAATTTTACACTGTGAAAATAAATTGTAGATCAATGGCTGCATCTAAAATGGAAGTATCTTTCTGTAATGTATGGACTGATTTAATGATAATATATTATTGGTTTCAGGGCTCTCACACCCCATTTTGGGACTGGGGCCCAGGGCCCTTAGAATTGGGAAAAATATTGACGTTTTTCTTAGAATGGGGAAAACTTGGGGTCTAAATTGGAAAAAAAAAGATACTATTTTTGCATTGGAAATGGGGCCAATCAAATCTGGCAGATTGAGAGCCCTGGGTTTTGCTTGATACTATGGTTCTCACCTGCTTTCAAGGCATTTTTCAAACTTGTGTCACTACTACAGTGTAAGGCTCAGCAGATACTTATAGGTCAGCCAATCAGATTTCATTGTCTTTCTCAGGCAATAGTACATAACAAAGTAAACAGAAGCAGTATTTGTAAATAAAACCATCGACTGCAGAACTCAGCCCACCTTTATTAAAAATCAAAAGCTGTATCACAGCAATGAAAGGAGAACATAAAAGCTGGTGAACTAGAATCCTGATGCTTCATGTTGCATCAGTGCACCCTAATCAGTGGGTCTTACAAACGTTTGCTATAGGTTAATGTCTTCTACGTTAAAACATTCTAAAATTACGAGCATACATACATACTTCAATGATGAGGGTCTCAGAAATACTTAACATTTTAATATTATTACCCGGGGTCTGCACACCACCACTCACACATCTGTAGGTGGGTCTGTGAAGTACAGACCTCAGGTTGAAACCTATTAGAGGTATCAATATTATGACCTGGTTTGCCCACCACCACCCAAATATCTGTGAATATGGGTGGGTCTATGAAGTACTGACCTCGGGTTGACACCTACTGCAAATGTTTTAACATTACGACCCAGTTTAATTTGCTCACCACCATCCACACATCTGTGGCCATGGGTGGGTCTATAGTACAAACCTTGGGTTAACCTCTATGTGGTAGTTACTGGAGATGGTAGATATATCCAGCTTTTTATTAGAAGGTGTTGTAAAGTTGTGTTGCTCTATTCGTAGCTTTTCTACCCCAGATCCATACAGCTCACGAAGCAGGCACATGATTCTTGTCTTCTTGCCCGCCCCTGATGGTCCATACACGATCAGATGTGGAAAATCTCCACTGTTCACCTGTAAATGTAATCATTCAGGCAATTTTGATGAAATTAAATTGATACCAATTTAAGCAGCTAAGAACAATTTCACATATTTGAACAAGAGTGTCCATAATTTGAAATTGAACTGTATGCGTACAGTCAAGTGGGTGTAAAATTAATTCATGAATACATTGGCAAAACCGATATACAAGTTTTACTTTTAAAACTCTTACAACCGCTGTTGGCTGTTTTGGTTTTAAGAGCAGTGGATAGCAGACAACATATGCTTCCGAAATGCTAATTTTTCATGTCTCTGCTTACAACTCACTAATTATTTAGAATCAGAAATGAACCATCAAAATGACACTATTCAATATAACTTAAGGCATGCATGTTTGTACATTCATAGTAAAAAAACCGCAAGAAGAATGACCTATTATTCATTGCCGATTTTTATTCACATGACACGACAACAAAGCTGTGATTAACTATACGTCACACCACCATGGATATGGATCCAGGCTTCGTGGTACGGTAGCTGTCGACCTCGATTGGTTTCCATTTATAAATCATGATGTAATTATGGCTAATATGACTCAGCGAATACTTTATTGTGTTATACATACCAGCTTTTTCAAATGGGAGGCTTGCTCCTTGTGGAAGTCAAGTTTAGTAAGGGAATTAGGGCGGTGTTTATCTACCCACAGACTCATTTCGTCGTTGTGGCGGGCAAGATTGCTAGAAATTGCAATTTCGCGGGAAGATCGGAATCTATTTAACGCTTGAATTAAGTACGCCTTTCTCGGCGATCTCTCAAAGCGTTTCACGGATTCATCGAATAGGGACACTATTATTTATATGGTTGATGCTATTAGCTCTAAATTCTAGGTATTCGTTCAAAATGGCCAGATTGCACTGACTTGAACTTCAATGCAGCCGAAAAGAACAAGAAATTATCAACATGTCAACAATCATAATCCAAACAAAAATGAAAAAAAAACTCTTTGGCAAAATATGAACAAAAGAAAGATTTAGAATCTACATGGAAACTCTTGAATGGATCTGTATCCATGTTCAAAGAAAAGGTAACAATGTTTGTATGACCCTTATGTGTTATTAGTAAACATCCATTTGTATTGTCCTGGATTTTTTAACATCTATTAATTTTCTGTACATTTGATTTGTCCTGTTTTTTTAACATCTATTAATTTTCTGTACATTTGTTTTGCCCTGTTTTTTTTAAACATCTATTAATTTTCTGTACATTTGTTTTGTCCTGTTTTTTTAACATCTACTAATTTTCTGTACATTTGTTTTGTCGTGGATTTTTCAACATCTATTAATTTTCTGTACATTTGTTTTGTCCTGTTTTTTTTTAACATTTATTAATTTCCTGTACATTTGTATTGTCCTGGATTTTTTTAACATTTATTAATTTTCTGTACATTTGTATTGTCCTGGATTTTTTAACATCTATTAATTTTCTGTACATGGAACAATAACAAGGAACCAATCGAGATGTCCTAGAGAAATTGATATTGAGATTGGTAGATCAGATAAGGTATAGGTGAGATGGCTGATTCTATGAGCAAAACATTGGCTCAAGTGATCCTGAATGCAATGTTAACGTAAAGTGACATGCGGACATTGTGGTGTATACATGCTGTATAATGGGTGATATGGAGATAATGCTGTGGTAAGGGAGGTAAGCCAATCGGCAATTAATAATTCCGGATTCTGTCCGTATCCTTTAAAAATAAGTTATATATTCTGATCCGGGCCACTAAAAAGTTGAGAAGAAGGAAAATGGAAAAAACATGGCATGCTACAGATGTCTTGCTTCTCAATGCAGAAACAACCGATATCTACGAAATGGTGGGAAATGTGGGTAGCTCTTACAAACAATGATGATCCCAACTTCAAGCTAAGCTATTCCTATGACATTTTTGAACCTTTTTTCTGTTGTTTTGAACTGAATGTTGATATGCCTTCTATGTGACTCTAGTGACTTGTCGTCGAGAAACCATGCGGGTTTTGGCGGTAAAATATGTATTCGTCGGAATCAGAAGATAGTACCGTCTTATATTCGGATGATGAAATCTTGTCTCAAACTTTTTTTGAAAGAAAATCGATTGACTGAGTTGAAATGTTGTGATTTACGATCTCCATCTCATTTTTATCGTACTACAAACGTCAATTTGTCATGTCAACAGTTCACAATGGATATATCTAAGTGCAGACATTTTTCAGGACTATCCCATGAAAATGGCGCAAAGTTTATTAGTGAATATGAATCGTACGTACATTTATATTCTCTAGCAGAGGATCAGCTTTATGAAGAGGACAAGAGAGTTGCTTTGTTCAATCTCCTGTTGCAAGGGCCAGCTCGGGCCTGGTTCATATCAAAAGATCTCCAAAAGAAGTCGTGGAAGGAGGTCCAGAAATGTTTTGAAGATGAATATATAAAGTTTAATTCCTCCAGTCCATCATTATTACTAGAAACTAACAATTTTAACAAAATGAAGTTATCCCAACATGATCCTTTAGATGACTTTTATGCTAGATTATCAGAAAGGGGAGAGAGAATTGGAAAGACGGATGTTGAAATACTTGCTAAATTTATTGAGGCTCTTCCAGAAAGTCTATGGATACCGAGAACTCCAGCAAGTGTCATGTTCCATGGAATCGAGGCCTGTAGATAATCAATATATCCACATCCAAGACCTTTCATCGAGAGTGGACAAACTAACTTAACAGCATTTCAGGTGCCACCACCTTTCCAATGTTGTTCATGCTAAGGGATGTCCAAATTTAGTGAATGTTAAACATTTTCCCTCTGAATATACCAATGTACATACTTTTCCTGGTTATACCAAAGGTTGCAAAACTGATGTCCAATGTTGTCCTATTCATGCATGTTCATCCTCTGGTACAGACAGATATTTTGAGATGTAATGATATAAGTCATGATAACCAATTATCAAGCTCAGATGATTCAAGTGTACATGATGAATGTGATTCATGACAGAGGTGCCCTGGAAAAGTTTTGAGCTCTATTTTAAAGGGGAGTAACTCTGTTGTCAGAAAGTTAGAATCTTATTTTGATATTTCATCTAAGTTGACTGAACAGGAAAGGTTAAAGTTGTTAGAACTGTTAACTGAACACAAAGATGTATTTATCACCCCTGAAAGTCTGGCACTAGGATTTACAAGTCTAGTTTAGACCAAACTAAAGAACATTTGGATTCTGTGGAGACCATTGAAGCCCTAAATATGAGTCACTCTTTTACTACTAATGACAATGAATTTATTGTGTCAATAGTCTGTCAACCTTCCCTGTTCCATACAGTGATTTACCAATAGTCTGTCAACCTTCCCTGTACCAGACAGTGATTTACCAATAGTCTGTCAACCTTCCCTGTGCCACACAGTGATTTACCAATAGTCTGTCAACCTTCCCTGTGCCAGACAGTGATTTACCAATAGTCTGTCAACCTTCCCTGTGCCAGACAGTGATTTACCAATAGTCTGTCAACCTTCCCTGTGCCACACAGTGATTTACCAATAGTCTGTCAACCTTCCCTGTACCAGACAGTGATTTACCAATAGTGTGTCAACCTTCCCTGTACCAGACAGTGATTTACCAATAGTCTATCAACCTTCCCTGTACCAGACAGTGATTTACCAATAGTCTATCAACGTTCCCTGTACCAGACAGTGATTTACCAATAGTCTATCAACGTTCCCTGTACCAGACAGTGATTTACCAATAGTCTGTCAACCTTCTCTGTACCAGACAGTGATTTACCAATAGTCTGTCAACCTTCTCTGTACCAGACAGTGATTTACCAATAGTCTGTCAACCTTCCCTGTGCCAGACAGTAATTTACCAATAGTCTGTCAACCTTCCCTGTGCCAGACAGTAATTTACCAATAGTCTATCAACGTTCCCTGTACCAGACAGTGATTTACCAATAGTCTGTCAACCTTCCCTGTGCCAGACAGTAATTTACCAATAGTCTATCAACGTTCCCTGTACCAGACAGTGATTTACCAATAGTCTGTCAACCTTCCCTGTACCAGACAGTGATTTACCAATAGTCTGTCAACCTTCCCTGTACCAGACAGTGATTTACCAATAGTCTGTCAACCTTCTCTGTACCAGACAGTGATTTACCAATAGTCTATCAACCTTCCCTGTACCAGACAGTGATTTACCAATAGTCTGTCAACCTTCCCTGTACCAGACAGTGATTTACCAATAGTCTGTCAACCTTCCCTGTGCCAGACAGTGATTTACCAATAGTCTGTCTTCTTCCCTGTACCAGACAGTGATTTACCAATAGTCTATCAACGTTCCCTGTACCAGACAGTGATTTACCAATAGTCTGTCTTCTTCCCTGTACCAGACAGTGATTTACCAATAGTCTATCAACCTTCCCTGTACCAGACAGTGATTTACCAATAGTCTGTCAACCTTCCCTGTACCAGACAGTGATTTACCAATAGTCTGTCAACCTTCCCTGTGCCAGACAGTAATTTACCAATAGTCTGTCAACCTTCCCTGTGCCAGACAGTGATTTACCAATAGTCTGTCAACCTTCCCTGTGCCAGACAGTAATTTACCAATAGTCTATCAACGTTCCCTGTACCAGACAGTGATTTACCAATAGTCTGTCTTCTTCCCTGTACCAGACAGTGATTTACCAATAGTCTGTCAACCTTCCCTGTGCCAGACAGTAATTTACCAATAGTCTGTCAACCTTCCCTGTGCCAGACAGTAATTTACCAATAGTCTATCAACGTTCCCTGTACCAGACAGTGATTTACCAATAGTCTGTCTTCTTCCCTGTACCAGACAGTGATTTACCAATAGTCTGTCAACCTTCCCTGTAAAAGACAGTGATTTACCAATAGTCTATCAACCTTCCCTGTACCAGACAGTGATTTACCAATAGTCTGTCAACCTTCCATGTACCAGACAGTGATTTACCAATAGTCTATCAACGTTCCCTGTACCAGACAGTGATTTACCAATAGTGTGTCAACCTTCCATGTACTAGACAGTGATTTACCAATAGTCTGTCAACGTTCCCTGTACCAGACAGTGATTTACCAATAGTCTATCAACCTTCCCTGTACTAGACAGTGATTTACCAATAGTCTATCAACCTTCCCTGTGCCAGACAGTAATTTACCAATAGTCTGTCAACCTTCCCTGTACCAGACAGTGATTTACCAATAGTCTATCAACGTTCCCTGTACCAGACAGTGATTTACCAATAGTCTATCAACGTTCCCTGTACCAGACAGTGATTTACCAATAGTGTGTCAACCTTCCATGTACTAGACAGTGATTTACCAATAGTGTGTCAACCTTCCCTGTACCAGACAGTGATTTACCAATAGTGTGTCAACCTTCCTTGTACCAGACAGTGATTTACCAATAGTCTGTCAACCTTCCTTGTACCAGACAGTGATTTACCAATAGTGTGTCAACCTTCCATGTACTAGACAGTGATTTACCAATAGTGTGTCAACCTTCCCTGTACCAGACAGTGATTTACCAATAGTCTGTCAACCTTCCCTGTACCAGACAGTGATTTACCAATAGTGTGTCAACCTTCCCTGTACCAGACAGTGATTTACCAATAGTCTGTCAACCTTCCCTGTGCCAGACAGTGATCTACCAATAGTCTGTCTATCTTTGCTACCTCTGC